TTTTAAAAGTATACTTAAGAAAATTAACTAGATAGATATAAACACAAATATCATTTTTAAATTTAAATAACTAGATATAGAAGCAAAAGTAACTAGATACAGATGCAATTATTTTAAAATGTATACTTGAAAAAAAATTAACTAATTGTAGATATGAATATAATTTTTAAATAAATAACTAGATAAAGATGCAAAAATAACTAAATACAATCTTATCGATGCTTATTGGTTAAAAAGCTGTAAGCGCAATAAGCGCAATAAATATAATCCTTTTTCGTAATATATATACATACAAGTTTTTCTGAAAGGTTTTTTTATTTAAACTTGGCGTCATTTTCTGAAACTTGGCGTCATTTTCTGATAATATCACCTCTTTTATAGGCAGAATATATAGCGAATTTTCATTTGGTATATACAACTTTTTTTAAAATATATACATACAAGTTTTTTTGAAAGGTTTTTTATTTAAACTTGGCGTCATTTTCTGATATCACCTCTTTTATAGGCAGAATATATAGCGAATTTTTATTTGGTATATACAACTTTTTTTTAAATATCTCTATTTACAAACCTCCTCGGTTCTATATTTCAATTCAGGAGTGGAATACCTTTCTTACTCAATTCTCGGAAGACACCTTATGTTTAGGCGATTTTAATGCTCGTCATACTTCATGGGGTAATGTTACCTCCTGTCAAACCGGTACAAATTTACTCGTTGCTCTTTCTGACTGCAACTTCAGTCTCCTGAACGACGGATCGACAAGGCATCAGCCCTTTTCGTGCAGTCGGTCTGCTGTTGATCTGTCCACTACAAATAGCGACCGTTTGTTGCGTTCACGCTGGGAAGTGATCGACGATTTTTGTGGTAGCAACCACTACCCGATTTCTATTTCCATTTTTAATATGCTCCTTCAAACTCTTCAATTTTTCAACAATACCAGACTGCATAGAAAGAGTACCGATTGGACCATGGTTAGAGATCTCTTAAAACAAAGCCTATCACTCCTTACTTTTACTCTAGAAAATCCAAATTTAGACACGCAATGCAAATATTCATCCTTCGCGGTAATTGAAGAATGTATTCTGACGGCAACACCTAAACTTAAACCTCGTTCTTCTCAATTGGATCTTTCCAAAAAAGCATTTGATGAAAAAGCCAAGTCTTGGTAGAACGATGAATGCGACAAGGCGTCTAGGCTACGTAAGGCCGCTTTTTCAAGATTTAAACACGCTCCAACTAGAGAAAATTATATTGAGGCTAAACATCTAGATGAACAAGCCAAAGCATTATTTAGGAAATCCAAAAGAGAGAAATTTTACGACTTTTGTTTTTCCTTAAATAAGTATTCCAATCTAAAATACTCGTAGTACGTAATCAAAGCCATGAATAATACACTTCATAGAGGCGAATCTTCCAATGCGTATAAACCAGCGGCTCTAGAATCCATTCGCAACCAGATTAACAGTTTGGCTCCTCCATGGTGCCAACCAAGACCTCCAGTTATTTTTTTGACCGGTAACTCTCACGAACTGGAGTTTTTCTTCACTCTAGAAGAACTTAATTTAGCCATTGATCAAGCTAAGCCGAAATCATGTCCAGGATTGGATGGCATAGATTACTTTACTTTTAAAGAATTTTCCCAGGAGCTTAGAGTCCTTCTTCTCTCTTTATTAAACGAGATCATTTTTTCTGGAGCCTTTCCAGAGTGGAAACGGTTTTCGGTGTTCTTCATACCAAAAAAAGACTCGGAAAAATTCAGACCAATATCCTTGGCACAATGCTCTCTCAAATTGGCGGAGAGGTTGATTAACAATC